GGTACACCCACTTAGCCAGCCAGATCACCCAAATCAACCCTTGTGGTCAATGGGATGACAATTGTTGCAGTCAGATCACCCTACCCCATAGTATATGTGAAAGACTTTGATGATTGACTCAAGATGATGTCTGTAAATAGGCTGCCATTTGGCAGGGGTGGGGGAGAGGGAGAAACCTTGGTGTGCACTTGGGACACCCTTTGGGTGCAGAGTAAGACTCTGGAATGGTCTCTACAGATCCTGGGACCTGAAGGATGGGGAAAGAGTCCATTTTGAGACTGATCTTGGGTTTTACTGTCATTCACATGATCCTGGGACTTGGGTGGAGTTCCCTGGTTTTATCCTTCAGTAAGTGATTGGCCAGGAAGCAAACCAACTTTTGGATTGCCCTCTGGGTTCAGGTGTTTAACCCAAGGGAAGGCTGAGATTATAATCAAGGGTAAATACTGGTTGTCAGATGAATCTGCATCCGTTTGTTCTCCCATCTTTCCCCTTTCAGGTCTAATAAATGTAAATACTATAAAATGACAAAGGAAATGGCCTTACTTGACCCACCTTTCTATGTCTGGTCTTGTTATTCTATGGTTGGTTATCAACAGACTGAGCTTATTGTTCCGTGTTTGCAGACACAACCAAGCATGAAAAAAATACCATATCAGACTTCAGCCATAACTAAACTGGAACAAAATGAAAGTTTTAAAAAGTAGATATTCAAATCCTTGTTTAAATTTTATATGGCTTGAATCACTCAGCATTTTCTAAAAAGAATTTAAATATCATGGACTTGTTTCATAACATCACCTGTTAAATATCAGCATATGTTTTATTTTTAAGATCTGTAGCCAATGGTTCTCCATGTTTTTAGACTTCATCTTCCAGAATCCTTTACTGAAGGCTGACTGAAAGTTCTTGGGGAGGAAGTCCAAAAACCCCCGAGGACTAATGGTAGTAGATATGCATTATTCCTGAATAAAAAAAAATGAAAAGTGTTTGCTGAATCCATAAACCAAGAAGTAACCAGTGATTGAATCAGCCCTGTAGCAGCTGAACACTACACAGGATTGGCTTGGCTTAACCTGGGACAAGGCTGCCTTAACATAGTTTTGCCTTGGGTTAAGCTAAGTCTGGGGACGGCCTGAATCCTGACCTAGGATTTGGGTTTTTCCTTCACTTTGAAGCTGTCAAGAAAGCTGGGCCAGTTCCTAATTGGAAGAGGCCAAAGTTGTCTTGAATGCCATACTTTGTGTCACGGGCTCAGGCAGCTGAGGACGCCAGATGGCAGTTCCCTCTTGTCCCCCTCTCCCGTGTCATTGGCTGTCTTCAACTGCACTTACCTTCTCTTGGGCATTCTGTCTGCAATCAAAACACCCAGACACTAATTGAGGAGGGGCTCTCCTTCTTCCCCGCTCCGAGCTCCCTTAGTGAAACTAACTAGATGAGGTGTTGCGGCTGGGGATAACAGTAACACAGATGGTGAGTAGGGATCCTTAGGGTGGCATCCTTGTAGTGCTGAAACAAGATTTCCATGGCTGGACAGTTAGAACTCCTTCCTGCCTCCAAGGCAGTTCAGGGAATCACTAAATGGATGCCATATGGGCCTGATCCACTATCTGGGATGTCAGATTGGGCCTATATAGTGGCTAGTATAGAAGGGTTCAGAGTGACTTCACTAGCAAAATATTTACAGGACGAGAATGAAGAAGTTGCCTCATAGTTAAGATTTTCCAACATCATGAAAGGGCGGCATATTCGTACTTGTTTTATTCTTACTACAAAAGGGTAAATGTAAGGGTTTTCCCCTGACATTAAGTCCAGTCGTGTCTGACTCTGGGGGTTGGTGCTCATCTCCATTTCTAAGCCGAAGAGCCGGCATTGTCCATAGACACTCATTGTCTTTAGACACCTCCAAGGACAAGTGGCCAGCATGACTGCGTGGAGTGCGATTACCTTCCCACCGGAGCAGTACCTATTGATCTACTCACATTTGCATGTTTTTGAACTGCTAGGTTGGCAGAAGCTGGGGCTGACAGCGGGAGCACACATTGCTCCCCGGATTCGAACCTGCGACCTTTCGGTCAACAAGTTCAGCAGCTCATCACTTTAATCCACTGCGTCACCAAAAATTTCTACACACTACAAAAACTTCTGCATAAACACACATATTTACTACTGTGTAGGAGGAGCACTGCAGGTAGAATTTTCTTTCTCATGTGCCAAAGGTTTCTTTTGGTTGAGCATCAAAGCTCAGTTCCATCATTTGATAGTTAATTATCTTAATTCTTTCATGTAGTTCACCAGGTTTGCTGTATCATGTGATGCCTCATGGCAGACTCATAAATGACAGTTCTCAGGATTATTATTCTCAGAATTCTTGGGTAGAAAAGGGTGTGTTAAACACACATCCTTTGTATGGCTTTAAGGAATCATCTTGTGATGAGAACGTAATCTGAAAATAATCCCTGGCATCTATGTTGAAATTGGATATCATTTCATGGTTTTATCCATGCTGTATTGGGTAACACACAAATATTTACAAAGGAAAACAATTCACAAATGTTTTTCCTTGAGCACTGACAAATGAAAACATATATCCACTGCTGCATTTGGCAATACTCTTATTTTCAGGAAGCTGATTAATCATGGTCCCAAAAGAAAAGCAGAACATTGCAAAACTGAAACATGACCTGATCATGTGGGCCGTAACACACTCTGATTCATGGACACACCAGTCTTGAATACATTTACTCAGAACCATGTTCCATTGATTTTAGTAGAATTATATTGTATCTCAATTACTTATGATTAGAAAGAGTGTAGCCTTAAGCACAAGTCTATTCCTGGAAACTGCAGGACATAGCCCTCAAGGCATTAATCCATGCTCAGAAAATATGCAGACTGAATCATTGGTCCTTGATGATATCAGACAGACACATACAAAGAGATCTTGCAGCGCCTGAGGGACTAACTGAAAGCAAGCATAAGCTTTTGTACACTCAGATACAATCTATGAAAGGATTTGTGACAAACGTATTCCTCTCATAGTCTCTAAAGTGCTACAACATACCTTTGCATACTAATACAGATTGAGGTTATGTCTACATCAAGCAAAATGCTCTAGAGTAGTCTGCCCCCAATATACCATGGGATATTTGGAAGCCCATCAAAAACACTTGGGACCTCTTCACATGGTCCTTTTGGGCTGTGCTATTGCATCAGCAATTGCTGCTGAAAGGGAAGGCATAAGGGGAGGAGGAAGGGTGCGCGAGGTGCCACGAGCCACCCCGTGTGCCCTTCCTCCTCCCCTCATCACACAGTGGGAACGGGAGAGGGTGCTTTGGCACCTTTTCCCTCCCCCCATCAAATGACAGAAAGGGTGGCAATGCACATTATCCCGCTGCCTTTTCTGCCATCATACCCCAAACTACACTTCCTTCCCATTGGTGGAGGAGAAAGTGCCTTTTGGAGCTTCTCCTCCACTTTTGGAGGAATGTGGACAAGACCTACCATTCATAGTGTGAAGGCGCATGGCAGGCTTCATACTTGCCATGCATAAAAGCAGCAAAATGGGGCAAAAATGCCCCGTGTGAAGAGGTCCTAAGTTTTATTCTGGAGTTTCTTGGAAGCTCTAGCATAACCTGTGGTTCTTATTGTGATTGATTAATGGCTGGAAGAAGTGCTTCTACTAAGAAACTGGCAACATGTTCCCTGGAATGCTCAAAGTAGGTTCAAGGTGACAACTTTTGAACCTCTGAAGATGCCAGCCACAGATGCAGGCAAAACGGCAGGAGAGAATGCTCCTGGAACATGGCCATACAGCCTGAAAAACTCACGGCAACCTAGTGATTCTGGTCATGAAAGCCTTCGACAACACATTGACAACTTTTATTTGACCCTTTTAGACATGACCTAAGATGCTTAAGGCCTTGAAACAGATGATAGACAGACATGTATTTAGATGTCTATGTTTGCCCTATCGATGCCTGGAAGATACAATGAACATAACACCAAGTATTTTTTCTTAAAGTAATTCTTAATAGGCAGTAAATAATTATGACCTTCTTCTGGCACATTGGCAGGATTAATCATAACTGGGATTTATTCCTTTCATCTCCATAGCCTCACATGCAAGCTCCAAACCAATGCTGGAGGCTTGAGAAACCTTTCAGAACCAAGTTTCAGGAAGTTTAGGACTAGAAATAACCAGGACTCTGAGAGAAAGTTGGAAGAATGTCTGCTGTCCTTTTTTCTGCTTAGAAATTCATTGGCCTTGCCTTGGCTTGCCAAACTCCAGACCAATGTACCAGATGAACCACCCTTTTAAAGGCCCTGGCAATAACCAGCAGAACATTGGATTTAGACCAATGTTTTTAATGTGTGACTATTCAAGGGAGTTGCCTTAAACTGAACTCAAACCACTGAACACATAACAAAAACCTACTTCTATAGGAAAACGACTACCTAAAATGTAAATCCTTTTTGCTTTCTACACTTACTGAGATCTCTTATCACACCAAAATCTTCCCAACAAATATGCAGGGACACTGGAAAATATGATCCACTGCATGATTAGCAAAGTACATATTTCAGAAACAAGTACAAACTCTCAAGGCCAAAGTAGGTTGACTGTTTCATAAACCTTGCAATATGCCTATTGCTCACTCTCAATGAAATCTAAACTATTGCTTTCTGCTTGCATCATCTTGCATTATCCTTGCATAGTACCAATGATCTCTTTATACATCTAGACTTCCTTGTAGTCATATGTCCTTGTGAGACCTATCTGCCCTGTTTATTAATCTACTAAAGAAGCAATATCTGACTGGATGGTTTTGCTTTATATACACATATTCAAAAACCTTTGAATCACTCCCAAAATGTCCCAAACACAACCAACATTCTCTGTCTGTACTATTCAAACCTATTGAATCTGGGTGTTGGGGGAGGGGAAGACACACACAGAACACGTTGCATTACTTTTCTAGTTAACTAGTCATGTGATGTGAATCTTGTAAAAAAGTGTTTATTCTCATATTGTTAAAGAAAAGCCAAGCCCAAACTTGTTTTCAAAAGTTTGTAGACTGCATTAGATAGAATTAAATATTTGAAGCTTCCAGAATTCCACAACCTGCATGACCAGCTAGTATAACACCAGTATATTCTCCAATTATCTCAAAGTTGTGGAGATAGTTCTGGTTAATCCCCCATGATCTCCCTTTTCCAGCTGCTTCTAAAATCTTCCAGATTCTGTCTCCCTTTATCTCCATTTGTTCCCTACTTATTTCACTTACCGCAAAATGCATTTTGTTCTCAATGCAGTAAGTGCGAGAAGAGACAAAAAGGCTAAATGTTGCTATATACCCAGTGCTGGATTTGGAACAAATGAAGCCTTGTGCTTCATAGTTAAGTTATGAGGCCCTTTACTTGGGCCCCGAAGAAGGTAGGCCCAATAGGCCTACATTGTCTGCTTTGTGGCACACTCCCATATACGATCAACTCTATCATTATATCTGGAATAACTCTGAAACAAAATTCCTTCAAATTGAGAATTGCACCACATAAGCAAAAACCATCATTAAAAAATGGCACAAAGGTGCCCCTCCCCTGCCCCCGGCCAACAGGGCCCTGTGCTTAAGCACACCTAAGCACAATGGTAAATCCGGCACTGGCTATACCCCCTCCTAGCTTTGCAGAACAGAAAAGTTATAGCTGATTGAACAAAATTTTAAAATATCACAATTAAGAGTATATTTGTATTACACAGTTAAACCAGTCTGAACTCATTTCAACTGCCACCATAAGGAATCTTGGAATATGTAGCTTGATGACATAGTATTTTGAATTTTCTGCTTGGAGAGCTCTACTCTATTTCCTTGAGTTAACACACTAAACATCCAGAACAAATAGTACTCTGTACCTCACCATACTCTGGAGGAGCCGCAGTGGCCCAATAGCTTAAACCCTTGTGCCAGCTGAACTGAAGACCTGAACATTGGCAGTTCAAATCCATGAGATGGGGTGAGCTCCTGTCTGTCAGCCCCAGCTTACCATGTGGGGACATGAAAGAAGTCTCCCACAGGATAGTAACACATCCAGGCATCCCCTGGGCAATGTCCTTGCAGATGGGCAATTCTCTCACACCAGAAATGACTTGCAGTATATTATCAATTTGCTTCTGACATGATAAAAAAAAAACCCCCATACACTGGGATTATTTAGAATTTAGCCATGATGTTAAAAAGTATATTGGACTGCTATAATCATGTTGAACAGATACACTCTTTGATATTTTACTGAGTAATGACATTTCTATTGAAAGAAAACCCAGAAGTTCCATAAGGCTGTAAAGTGACCAGAAACACAGATGGACTCTTAGACCTGCCAGGAGTAAGATGAGAATAAGAAACAGGAATTCTGCGTTTGGGGTTTGTTTTGAGACACTTAAGATGACATCAGTTATCTTTGCCTAACTTGTACTTTCCCCAACTTCAGAAATGGAGACACTGCTTTGTGCTTTCTTGGACTTCTTAACATACGTGTTCATGCACAAACCCAAACACTCACACTGAAAGGCAAAGAATATCTTTAAGGCGGGATCAAAATATGTTTGCATTAGTGAGAAATGTGGCACAGTGTCCTAGACACTCTCCTCCATTATGGAAAACCCTTGATCTGTTGAGACTACATAAAGCATGTATTCATGCTGGCTGCCACTTCAATTTTTTGTAGCATTTCAGACTCATAACATTGCAAGAAGAAAAACTAAGAAGTGATCTTCTGTTTCTCATGTTTGACGCCTCCATCCCTTTGGATGTGGGTTATAGTTGGGGTCAGATATTGACAGGCAGTAATCAGACCTGGAAGACATGGAGAGCACGTCAGGATCAGTTCGGGTACATTGGTCATAATATGCATGCTGCAGCCGAGAGCTGGAATGGGTTGTGGAGCTCGGAGCGGACATTGTGCTCTTCGGAGGGTAGACGGTTGCTGAATGACTCCTTCCAATAGAAGATAATTTTGTATGGGCACTTGGGGCTGGATGCTCATAGGCCACTTTTTGTTTCCAGTCATCAGGCGGGGCAGGAAGTGTTTTCCTGCGAGCAGCAGACACAACATTTGCTGCAATTGATTCTTGGATGGTTTGTGGGCCAAAAGCATCATCCACAAGTCCAAGAGGAGACTTGGCTGCAGCTTCCCAAGGAGTTAGCCTCTTCCCAGGCTTGTCGGCTCCTGTAGGCATTGGTTTGCTAAAGTAATCAGGGGCAGGTTGGAACATCCCAGGAGAAATAGGTGACATGGATCGTAAAGTGGTCGAAGGAGGCCATCCAGAGATTGACAGGGATCGCTCGCTGCCTCTTCCCTAGAGATAAAAAAACATGAAATATAATTGCAATGTTGCATTCAAATTAAAATAGGTGATCCTTCCTTATCCTTCCTTATCTGTGACTGTGATAATGCAAGTGCAGTCTCCCCGCAAATGTATACACCTTTAATAGGATTAACAATTTGAATAGTGGGTATGGTGTCATTTCTTATATCTAAAATTTTATATTTAACTGTCATTCTCTGTGCTACTATAGTAGATTCTGAGTATTTGTGTGTGTGTGTGTGTGTGTGTGTGTATATCTCACATCACTAAGGATTGCTCATCAACCTTATTAGCCATGAAGGCGCAATGGGTTAAACCCTTGTGCTGGCTGGACTGCTGACCTGAAGGTCAGTGGTTCAAATGTGAGGAGCAGGATGAGCTGTCAGCTGTCTGTCAGCTCCAGCTTCCCATTCAGGGACATTAGAGAAGCCTCCCACAGGATGGTAAAACATCCAGGCATCCCCTGGACAATGTTCATACAGACAGCCAATTCTCTCACATCAGAAGTGACTTGCAGTTTCTCAAGTTGTTTCTGGCAGAAAACAAAAAAAAAATCAATCTTATTGCCATCACTAGGGTTCCCCTCTTGTAACATCACTCAAGGTCATCCCTATATCTGAGGGTTTGTCCAGTAATCTCAAGGCCTGGTGTAGTCTTGACATGCCAATTCTATCCCCAGTCTCTTCACCTAGCCCCATATTACAATTTTGTTTAAGAGTGCCGGAAGGAAGGTTCCCTTAAGGACTGATTACTGTTCCTGGAATGTGAACTTGACACCCCTGATTCCTTCCAAACCACTACTTTTTTAAAAAAAAAATGCCCCAAATCCAGAAGTCCAAACCAAAAGAACACTTTTGCTCATTTGTTGATCTCTTCTTGTTCTAAATGGGGAAGGGGAAGCACTCCGTGGATCTCTAGGTTTGTGTGGAATTGGTCCCAGCACCCATCACATTTGCCAACAAAAGCATTAACTAATATGGGAAGGAGAACAATAAAGTTTTGTTGTTGTTCTTCATTTGGACTATTGCTGGGGATTAATGCAAAAGAAATGACATTTAACATGGTTAGGAAAAGATTAAAATGAAAGCAAAAAACAAACATAAAGGCGGATCTATCCTAATTGCGGGCATTTATCCACCGCCATTATGATCCTCTACTTAACCCTGTTCCTTTTTCAGAAAGGCTATGCCCTGATAATTTCAGAACACTCTGACCCACTTATAGGAGCAATCCATTCACAAATCCTAATCTTCTTAGGAAATGAACAGTCTCATTCATAAATTCACCGTGTGACAAACACTTCTGCTACAACAGACTTTGTTCATTCATTCATTCTTTCCTTCACTCATTCATTCATTCATTCATTCATTTATTGATTTGTATACATCATAGGCCTTTTCTACAAACATTTCCTATTGTGCTGAGTTATTGTGAGTCAAGTTAAGCATACAAAAAGGTCTCTTCAGGACAGATGAAGACAGAAAGGCTTGTCCTCAAAGTGTGATTGGAGTTTTAAATCAACATTTATCTCTCTCCCAATGTACGAATTACACCAAAGTGGGTAACTATTGCTACTCATGGGATGCATTTGACCTCTAAAAGTCCTTGGAGGGCTGACCTTACAGAAAAAATGACCCCAAATATCTTTTAGAGACATGGGATATTTTTACCACATTTTTTACCCAACCTCCAACCTATTTTAGACACAGAGATACCTTTATTTTTACAACAGAAAGATATGTCTGGGTTGCTGCGAGTTTTCTGGGCTATATGGCCATGTTCCAGAAGCATTCTCTCCTTCCTTTGCCTGCATCAGGAGGAAATTGGGTTTATATATCTGTGGAATGTCCAGGGTGGGACAAAGAACTCTTGTCTGTTTGAGGCAACTATAAATGCTGCAATTGATCACCTTGATTGCAGCTTCAAGGCTTGGCTCTTTCCTGCCTGGGGGAATCCTTTATTGGGAGGTGATTAGCCGGCCCTGATTGTTTGTCTGGAATTCCCTTCTTTTTGAGTTCTGTTCTTTATTTACCGTTATGATTTTAAAGTTTTTTTAATACTGGCAGCCAGATTTTATGAACTCTAAAAACCTAAAACTAAATAAAGAGCAACACTCAAAAACAGGGGAATTCTAGACAAGAAACAATCAGGGCCAGCTAATCGCCTTCCAACAAAGGATTCCCCCGGTAGTAAGAAGCCAGACCTCGAAACTGCTAGGCCATTAAATGCTAATCAAGGTGGCCAATTGCAACATTCAGGCCTACCTCAAACAGACAAGAGTTCTTTCTCCCACCTAGGACATTCCACAGATATATGAACCTCATTTTCCTAGTTTCCAACAGACCTCACAACCTCTGAGGATACCTGCCATAGATGCAGGCAAAATGTCAGGAGATAATGCTTCTGGGACATGGCCATACAGCCCAGAAAACTCACAGAAACCCAGTGATTCCAGACATGAAAGCCTTTGATAATAGAAAGGGCATCTCCTGGGTATCATAAAAGTGGCAAAAAAGTCCTCCATATCCACTAAAGGACAATTTGGGCCAAAAATTCACAACAGGTGGCCCGTGGCCCAATAAAAGCCCATTGGCCCCTCTTTAGCTGTCACTGAGTTACATCAGTCTAAGCATATGCATGTTCCACTCGAGTCCCAACCCCTAAATGCCTGCTGTCTGAGGCACCCATCTTGCACTGCCTAATTATAGAGTTTGCCCTGGGAGATATTAGTGGATGATGTGTGCAACCTTTCCAGTGCTAAGGACTGTATCCCATGGCAGTCAGCAGCGGGGCTTAGCAGCTGCATTCATTTGCACCTGCATGTATGCATGGTTCAGCACATTCCATTTTGCGGCATCCTCCTCTTAACTTCCTGTTTACTTGCTGCACTCTTTGGAGAACAGGAAACAAAGCTTTCCTCTTTGAATGGGACCCACCAGCATTAGGAGCTGTAGAAGCTACGGTACCAGTGAACCCAAAGCCATATGTGGTGTATCCATGTTGTAAGCTAATACTCTGGTAAAATAACTGAATCTAAACTTATCTGAATTTATTGCTAAACTTGGGAACATTTTATGTCTTCCTCAGAACACATATTTTGTAGTTAATTTCTGTTTATCTTAACACACCAAGAGAATGTAAGACACAATTCTACTGCACTTATACTGTGTAATAGGTCTGTTTATTATGCGAGGTCTCTGAGCACAGTGTCATTTATTTACAAAAATGCCATAGAGTCACACTGGAGACCTAGAGAGAACAGTCTAGGGATTTTCTAGGTCCTCCAGAGTGATACTATGGAATGCTTTGGCCGGAAACCACAGACATAATTCAAGATAAGGAAGAAAATAGGGTTCCAGATTACGTGAAAATTGTATTTATGCAAAAGGTTCTAGAACGAATCCTTTGCATAATGGACCTATTGTGTTTGTATATTGTGTTTGTATTGTATATTGTGTTGTCGAAGGGTTTTATTTTGATTGACTTATTGTCTAGAATAATTTTGGTATGTCCAGTTAGTGTATGGGCCTGTGATTTTATTAGTCATTCTGTTCTTAACTAATAGATCATATTGAAGAATGCTTTCTAGGATCACCACAACCGTCTAGCACAGTGATTCTCAACCTTTCTAATGAGCAACCCCTTAATACAGTTCCTCATGTTGTGGTGACCCCCCAATCATAACATTATTTTTGTTGCTACTTCATAATTGTAATTTTGTTACTGTTATGAATCATAACATAAATATCTGATATGCAGGATGCATTTTCATTCACTGGACCAAATTTAGCACAAATACCCAATATGCCCAAATTTGAATATTTATTTATTATTTATTTATTTCTTGCATTTGTTAAATTTGAATACTGGTGGAGTTGGGAGCGGGGATTGATTTTGTCATTTGGGAGTTGTAGTTGCTGGGATTTATAGTTCACCTACAATCAAAGAGCATTCTGAACTCCACCAACGATGGAATTGAACCAAACTTGGCACACAGAACTTCCATGACCAACAGAAAATATTGGAAGGGTTTGGTGAGCATTGCCCTTGAGTTTTAGAGTAGCAGTTCACCTACATCCAGACAGCACTGTGGACTCAAATAATGATGGATCTGGACCAAACTTGGCACGAATACTCAATATGCCCAAATGTGAACACTGGTGGAGTTTGGAGAAAATAGACCTTGACATTTGGGAGTTGTAGTTGCTGGGATTTATGGTTCATCTACATTCAAAGAGCATTCTAAAACCCACCAACTATAGAATTGGGCCAAACTTCCCACACAGAACCCCCATGACCAGCAGAAAATACTGTGTTTTCTGATGGGCTTTGGTAACCCCTCTAACAGCTGTCTCGTGACCCCTCCAGGGGTCCCGACCTCCAGGTTGAGAAATGCTGGTCAAGCAGAATTAATTCTCACCTAAAACATGAATGCTGCTTTGCTGTGTTGACCCTTTGCTGATTAGACATACATTTATTAAAAACCTGTAGAAAATTTTGAACTCCACAATATCACATTCTGCTTTGAAAAACACCCTCAAATTACACCTTCTATTAAAGTTGCCGTAAGTCAAAGTGAACTTGATGGCAATTTTTAAAAGGGGATATATTATTCAGAAGATTAATATTCCAGTGGAAACTGTGAAATTTCACCTTGTTTTTGAAAAGTCATAGCCTGTTAAATCCAGAATTAAACTGTAACGATCTTTCTCAGTGCAGCCACTTCAACATTTCACAAATGCAAACCAGATACATGTGGACAAGCAACATCAGAAAGTCTGTAGACTTAAGTATCACATAAAAAAAAAACAGGGTCACTGTAACCCAAATGAGGAATTTCCTCTGTTCTAATTTCCCTTTGATGTGTATGGAGGAAAGAGGACACTGGCAAAGAGAAAACCTAAAACATCAAGTTATGGAAAGTTACAGAAGTAAATTAATGTCCTTGTTGCACAATCATAGCCCTGTGTTGGTGCAATCACTGTAGCAGA